GGTATGGCTTTTATCAACATCAGTTTTGATTTGAAAAATTTGTGTTTAAGGACTTGCCACGCTATGATCAGAGTCAGCAAAACCGAATTGCTCTCACAATCCGAATCAAACCCGACGATAACTCCCCGCCTACCGTAGTCACACGTGAGCTCGAGGTGGAGGAGGGGGGACACTGCTTCATCACAACAGATGCCCTATCCGTTCAAGACCGCGACAGTCCCGCTTCCTCAATAGGGTTTGTGGTTGCATCGCAACCCGAGTGGGGGTACCTGGAACATACTCGAGTCGGTGGTCTGTTCACACCTTCGGGTCACGTGAGCAAGAACGAGATGCCCTCTTTTACCTACATGGACATCCAGGATATGAAGATAGTGTATGTGCAGAGTAGACATCAAGGAGTGGAGCCAATAGCAGACAAAGTGGTGGTGTATGCGACTGATGGCAAACAGATCTCGGATAACTTCACGTTACCTATTCGCATCAAACCTGTCAGCGATGAAGTGAGTTAAACAAGTTTACTCTTTTTCAAACAATTCACCTCATAATCAATATCACGTCACTGCCATCAATGTTAATCATGTCAGCTTCCTAGTCGAGATTTTAGGCCCAATTTTGAGAATGATTTGAGCGCTTTCTTACACTGTTAGGCTCAAAGTCTTACTTTGGAATGAGCAACTTTTCATGAAAATTTGAACAAAATCTCATCCAACTCTCAGGAAAATCTCATTTTTGATAGCTAAATTTTATAAGTTATAGTGATTTATTATTCGTTTTTCCAATCTAAAAATGCGAAATAAAAGGGATTCAAATATGGTTTGTATCTTGCCGCCTGTATGTCCAGCCCAGCAGGAGCTCAAAGATTTCATGATCGGAGGAGTACCCGTTGAAAACTGTTTAAATCACCACCGTTACAATATGTGACTTTCTGTCGCAGCAGGTTTCTACGACAAAACAGATATGGCGAGGCACCAAAAGTACTGGCACATTCCCTTTTGATGAAGTGAACATATACTTAGTCACGGTTGCTCTTGTTCTCAAAATAAAAAACAAAGCTTAAAATGAAAATTTGCAATAAAAGTAATAAATAATATTATCATCTATTGATTGCTGAGACAAAATGGCAATGGTCAATGTCTTGGTTACTCAAAACAAATAAGTTTTTTTTTCTGTTTAAAAGACGAAGACAAGGGAATTAACACTTCATGTGTTTGGTAAATATTGTCTGCATTCAAAATGTTTCTTTTTTCTAGAATCCGCAGTTTGAGGCTCGCAACCTGACAGTTACAGAGAACGGCTTCATAGTCCTCGACGACATCTTCCTCTCCGCTAGGGACCTGGACAAGCCCTCGGACAAGCTCATGTTCTATATCGAGGAGTTCCCTCTACACGGATACATCACGAACAGAAACTATTCGGGATCTTACAGGTGGCTGACACGAGATGACAACATTGACTCATTCAACTTTGAAGAGCTATCTAAGAGATACATCAGCATATGGTGCGTGAATCTCATACTGCCAAAAGAGGTATCGAGCAAATGAAATATTAGTTAAATTTGGACATCGAAAGTGGATTGAAAAAGAGCTTCAGTTTTGCAGTACGGTTTTGGTCGTACATCAAATTTGATCTATAGTTTTTTTGGTAGATAAGATTAGAAAGTATAACAGGCAGCTTCTTAAAGGATTTCTGTGAAAGATCCATCCATAAAGAAATTCCGTTAACTTTTAATTTAAAAAGAAATAGTTGTAATTTAAAAAGTAGTTTTGTCTGCAGGTACTACCACGACTGCACCGAAAGTCTGAAAGACCAATTCACAGTCCGTCTTTCGGACGGGTTCCACTCGATACGACACGTGATATATGTGCAGATTGTGCCAATCAATGACGAAATACCCACAGTGCGACACTCGGGAGGCGTGTCGGTGAAGCGCGACCAGTCGGCTAAGTTGTCCCCGTTTGCTATCATTGCTGACGACGCAGACACCCCGAATGACCAGTTGTATTTCCTCATTAGGGCGTTCCCACAGGCCGGTTACTTCTTGAGAAAGCAGGTAGCGCTTGTTTTTTTTTGTTCAAAACGAAAATTCTAAGACTTTAACTGTTTTACTTATACCAGTTGCAATGAAAATATCAATTAAGAGAAAAACAGTGCAAAACTTGAAAAGAGTTTTTAAAAGTTTTTGGAGCAATGATATTTAAAATACCACAGGTATTTTTTTGTTTCTAAATATTGCTTGTTTTTGATTACTGCAGCAATTAATGGATCTGTTTGTTGTGTATTTTCTAGATTTCTAGGGAAGGCAAGGAAGTATGGATGAAAATGGACGAAAACTCAGGACCTTTCACACAGAAAGACATCGATGAAGGCATCATCATGTACAAGCACAACAGTTCAATGGACAAACGAGTCACCACAGATGTCTTTGCTTACGTCGTCTCCGATGGAATAAATCTCAGCGAAGACGCTTCCTTCAAAATCTCAATTCTGGATGATGACAAGAGTCCGATTAACCTCGTAAACAACAAATTGACCTTGAACACCGGAAGTACAGCTGTGATAACGACCGAGTATCTTAACGCGGACGATTACGCTAATAGACCCTCTGAAATTGTGTTCAGCATTGACGATCAGCCCAATTCTGGGAGGGTTGAGGAGGTTAAGAATCCGGGCACTGCTATTACTAGGTTCACCCAGGCACAAGTTACAAATAAGGAGATCAGATATGTGCATGTGAGGAGGAAGGGGATCAGGACGCCCCAGATATCAGACTCGTTCAAGTGAGTTTCTCCGAAAATCATAACTTAAAACTTTTGAGACTTTTTATTAAAAAAGCAACCAACAGCACATTACATCGTTCATTCCATATCTCAACCAGTTAGTTAAAAAAAACTAACGGCCCATATCAAAATCTTGAATTTAACACAAGTGAAATCGAAGAAAAACAAAAACATAAGTGTATATAATTTTCCAGAAGTTTTGCTCCTCAAACGGTCTCATTGCAATTTTTTTAAGTTTTATGATTGATAAGAAAAAATTCATTATATTGTTGATAAAATTATTTTTTTTTTCAGCTTCATCGTGTCAAATGGACAGACGTGGCTAAACAGGACATTTGAAGTGACAGTGAAAGTGGCACACCAACTGCCCACTTTAGTGGAGAACAAACCCCTCCAGTTGAGACAGGGGGCCAGCAAGGACATCACCATCGCCAATCTACATGTGCTGGATCCGGACACAAAGTCCAAGAACCTCACCTACATTATTATGCAGGTAAATTGAACACGACAGGAAAACTTTCTTTGGAAGTGACACGTGCATTCGGCACTCCATAAAAAGCATCCAATTTTGGTAGGTCAAGTAAAAGATAATTAGTGATTACCAGTGGACGAAAAAAATTTACTAGTGTTAATTTATCACTAACTTGAAAGTTTTGGTCTGCTATAAGGAAGCTCGAAATGAGGTCTCATCTAATGATGTAATAAAAGTGTTTGTGTGTTTTCAAGAAACCAGCAGAGGGAACATTGAAGAATGGAAACAGGACGATAGAATACAAGTTCACGCAGTTCGACATTGACAACCAGGACATCACTTACCACCACCACGGAACAGACCACATCCACGACGACTTCAAGTTCTCTATCTCAGGTGAGCAATGAGTTTCCCACCCCCATCCTCAACACATTCAACACATTATCTTCTCAAACTACCAATAGATTTGCCCCTCCTTCCCAGCTATTTTACCATCACATTTTAGTCGCAGAAAAATGGCTGCAAATTGTTTGATTATTTTTTTATTTTAATACTATAGAGAATCATAAACAAAAATTCGCAAAAAAAAGAAATGTTTTGTTATCAGATATTTTTATTTGACCCGTAGTAATCCATTTTTTATCCCACTTCTAGTTATTTTAGCTCATAAGTTGTGAAAAAGTTTAATTTTTAAGATGGCCCGAACTCGATGTACGTGATCAAGAACGAGGTGACTTCTAAGCCGATCACGTTCCAGATAGACATCATGGTTCCCAAACCGAACCAATTGCAGATCAAATCCACCATCAACCGAAACCTCATCTCAAACGACGGCCATGTTGGATACAGACTCGACAGTCACAACATACAGGTAGGACACCGGATAAACCCTACATTTAAGCCAATTTATCGCCCCAAGTCAACTTATATCTTCTCAATATTCTCCTTTACAAACAATCTACTGGCTGTTTGGTTTGCTTTGAAAAATGGCATTGACAACAGTTTGCTCATGACCTAACAGTATTTTCAAGTGGTAAGGATTGTGGAAAGTTTTTGGAACTCAGTAAGCATAAGCAAAAAAAAAAATTAGGTGAGAATCTTTTAACTTCTTGTCGTTGTCATCCGATCTGAACTCTTTTAGATTTTTCTCTTTTTTTTCTCATAATCAATCTTGCAAATGCTAACTGAAGCTAGGCTCAAAAATGTAGTTTCGGAGCCCTCTCTTGATTCTACTTTTTGTCGTCGTTTTAGGTAAAGGGTTCGGACTACCAGCCGGAGCAGATTGAGTTCAAGATAGTGCGCAAGCCCATCTTCGGTCAGCTGATTTACTATGAGAGTGGTCTGCCAGTGCCTGTTACCTTCACCTACGATGAGTTGATCAACAAGAACATCATGTATGTCATCTTCCCTGAGAAGGACGCCACCAACGACAGCTTCGTGTTCGACGTCCAAGATGCAAATGGGAAGTTCACCCAAGCCAGAAGGTCAGTTAGCCTTTACTTGGCTCTGGTAATAGCTTCAACCTTTTTAAGTTTTTGGTTGCATACACTGGAAATTAATTGTGGCAGATGGTGAACCGGTTATTTTTCTATTCCTTTAAAGGTTGTTAGCCCTTTTTCTATTTCCTTTTTAAGTACTTTCCCATAGCTTTAGCAACAGCAAGGATAAGTTTGAGAAAAAAGAGATTTTTTTTTCGAAAATTTTGAAAATGGCTATAAACGATTAAGTGCACTTAATAAACTTCGGTTTCCATAAAAATGAATAAAGTGAAGACTATTAATCAAGGGACGCCTGTCAAGGTGGATCTTTCCAATTGATGAGAACTATGGTATTTGAAAAACTTTTGGCTTCGTGTTCTCTGGCTGCGCGAGACCCGATACCATTTAGAATGACGAGTCATTATGTGTCCGTGCTGCGTTTTGTGACTCATAATTGTGATCACAACTTAAAGATTTGTTCATTTTCAGCCGCTATAGAAACTCAGAAGAGTACATTCCTGCTCGAGCTACGTAAGGATGATGCAAACTATATCTACTGTTGTACATCTTTCTATCTGTCAACCTAATGTGGGGATATCTCATGTCAGAAAGTCTGAATGACACAAAATTATTATAAGCCAATCAGATTTGAGTATTTAAAAAATATGAAAGAACTTGCGACTATCCAAAGGATTTGATTGATAAGAAGTATTCTGGCCTTCTGTCATAGACCCCAACTTAATCATCACTTTGACCGTCAATCAACTGTAGAATATGTTGTTGAAACTGTTGACTGATTGATTGACTGAAATACTCTTTTCTTTCTCTTTACCTCTGATTTCAACTTGAAACCGTTGATCTTTCCTTTATTTGATTAATAACTATTTCTCGAATAGATTCCACTGTTCACAAACGTAGATGAAATTAACGTAATTGATGAAATCTGTTGTAGTTTCTTAAAAATTGAATTTTTTTCGAGCGATTTAATCTAACCGTAAGCGAAATACTTAGCAGATTGGTTAATAAGATTACATTCCTTAGCGATTTTGAAATATATAATTATGTATACATTTGGCTTTATTCCATAATGACTTTTCGGTCAACGAAACATATGCCACATGCGCACCGTTTTAACTGATGACTTTCATCTCACTAAAAAAATTGAAACTGACGTTTAAGCAGCTGATTGTCAAACTTCTTTTTCAGTTATCTTTGATTTGAAACTGGCATTCGATTCAAAGGCTCATTTTGTTTCTACTGCACTAAGTCTGCCAATCATGTGAAGCACTTTTAAATCATTTATATCGTCACACTTTTTGTTGGTCTGAAGAAATCAATGATGACAACTTGAGAAGTACCAAAAAAATCCCAAAAATGGTCTATTAGTACAAAATGAGTAATGAATTGCAATTGAAGACCCAAACAAAATTGCATTAAAATGATGAAATGCACTGGCTGCACAAATATGGAGTTATTTAATTGCGGAAATTAGCTGGTCTGGGAGAAATAAACAAAGTGACAGTTATTTTCCTCAACTGAATTGGAGTTCAATTGATAAAAGTATTTGCCCCGCCTCTTAAAATATTTGTCAGTTTTTCAAGATACTGATTTTTAAAAAAAGAATACAGGTTTCTTGATGCAATATAATTAGTTGAATTGAATGTTAAAATTGATTTAAATGGACTAATATTAAATTAAATTCAAACTATTTTTGAATGTAATCTGGAATGCGTAGATCATGTTTTTAAAACAATTGTCTTCGAATGTCAAAAAGATTTCCTTCTTGGTTGATTTTTTTCGCGTTGTCTGACCAGTTTTGACAATAACATGACAATTGAACTTGATGAAAAGGTATAAACGATAATTTGTTTAATTTTCTATAGGTATGACCTGTCCTGGGCGAGTATTGAATTCAAGCACAGTAAGCTGACGGTGTGTGAAGATGGGGGCTCAGTAGGCATTCGGGTGGTCAGGTATGGCTGGGTGGGTGGCAAGAGTCAAGTAGAATTCAAGATCAAGGACATCCCCTCATCCATGCACGACGACGACTACTTCTACAACCGACAAGTTGTATTCGACCAAAGTGAGAAATCACTTCATTATCAGATATCAGAACGGGATTGGTCTCCTAATTTAAGAAAAATGTCCCTAACAATTTTGAAAACAAAAACTTTTTATGAACAACCAGACTGAGCAAAAAAAAAGCTTTTGGTGCCTAAGCTTTTTCAAAGACACTTGCTTTTCCTCACCCCAACCTTGCATTCTAACATTTTATCTGAATCTATAAATCTCCTTGTTTCAGTGGAGTCTGAAAAAGAGATTAAACTTGAGATCGGCAAGAGCAAAGACCTGATCGAAAACCAGAACATCAAACTGATCATGCGCAGACCAGACAACGCAGTGCTTGGAATCCTCACCAAAATGGACATCACGATCCTCGACGAAACTGAATCCTCTTGCATCTTCGGAAAGATCGACAACTCTAACCCCAGTCAAGTTCCTGATAAGAACCCGAGCATTCAACTGCCTCCTACCGATATCTGGAATACTCCGACCGATCCAGTTCCAGTTCTGCCTCCGAAGATCCCTGGCCTTGAAGCATACCCGCCAGCTGGACCCGTTGACTCGCAGATGCCCAAGTTGCCGCCCGTTTATGACCCGGTGAATAAAGCAGCAGCTAAAAGACTAGTTCGTAACCCGGTTCTGTTCTGTCAAACTAACCAGAGGCATGATTATCATCTATTTTTTGCGTGTTTCTAAATGCTCAAAAGTGAACCTCAGAAATTCATTTTTGAAAGCAAACATAAAAATTTTGCATTAGTTCAAATTGGGTGGAGTTTTAGACTTCGAGCCCCTCTGGAGCTTACGTAAGTTTGTAATTTATCCATGAAATAGTAATCTCAAATAAACAGAACGCATTGATTAAAAAATTGGATAGATTATCTTAACTGTATTGTCAATTCAAAGGAAAATATTTTCATACTTTTGGTATTATTGTTATCAACACCCAGCAAACTGATTGCCACTACCGCACTTTCATTCAGCTTAACTCCTTAATGAGAACTAAACATATTTTAGTTCCTTCTTTTTGAGTTTCGGCCAACTTTATTCAAATCATGCCTCATACTTGTTGACTGATTCTTTCCTAATATGACCCCCCTTTAAACTAGACTGTCTATTCTATTCTGTCCTTTCTTTGCAGTTCAGCTCCTTGAAACCGGAAGGGCACAGCAACGACGAGTTCATGCCAGCGGACGAGGGCGAAGGTGTTAGTACTACAGAGGTTTAATTTCAACTAACTTTTCTCTCATCCCCTAAACCGTTTTCATCTCCTAAGTCTATCCTCAGCAACGCTTGTGTTGTATAGTTTTAAGTTGAAATTTTGTAGCACTTTTTGTAAGAACGTCACAAAAATTGCCTCGCTAATTCCCCCTCTTAAACTCAATAAAGTTTGGCGCCAATGGCGCTATTAGAACTAATTATGGTTGGTCGACCGAAAGTAGTTGCAAAGGTGGACTAGAAAAAGATGTTATTGTAGCTCTAACGCTATCTTTTTTTGATTCTATCCATTTTTCAGCCTCCAATCGGGTGGCGTGATTGTGGTCCAGAACAACATGGCCTCCTTTACTACCAGAAGAACACTCAAGAACTCTATGAGTGCGATGGAATCGATTGGATACTGAAGTCCAGTCCTTCGCCGCCCACTTCTCCAGGACTACCTGAAGCTTACGTGAAAGATGAAGAACATATGCCCATTAAGCCAGAAAGACCTGTCATACCAGCTTGCTCTCTTGGTAAAGAAGCATACTTTCTGTACTTTCTGTTGAAACACAGGCAGAATATGTTCATTTATAATAAGAGTCGGCTAAAAGCAGACTGCCAGAAAAAAACCTTCATGTTATGTTGGTTTGCTCTTTCTAGCTCTCATATCAAATAGATTTTCATCAACTATTTCATCTAAAATCTTCAAAATTTCGTTAAAACGTATTTCAGATCTATTTCATCTTTACACGTTTTCAGAAATATTTAACAGAAATCAGAAAATGGAGTTCACCAATAAGCTCATTCTTCAAAATACTTATAAATTTCTTAATTTCTAGGCTGGACTCAGCATTTCGGCAAGTGTTACCTCGCAGTGAAGACAAAAAAGACCTGGACATCGGCTAAACAAGATTGCGAGTAAGTAACTACGCTCTATTTTCTAACATTAATTCAACGATATTAAATCAACGATATTACTTTCTGTGAGCTTTCTTTCTCACCAACTATTTGTTTACCCTAAGTTTAGAACCCATTTTTTTTTATAAAATGCATATTTATTTTACTGTATGACATAAAACTTCAGCAAAATAGGAGTGAAGATAGCCAGTTGATGTGCAAGTAGCACAGCAAGTTCGACCTCAATTCTAATAAAATTTTAAAAAGTTAGTTTATTTTTTCTCTAATTGTGTCGTTTGTTATTAGTGGTGCGATGAAAGAGTCTGAGTGAAAGCCTAGAAATAAGGAATATTCGACAGTCTTAGTAAATTAGGCGCTTTAAAAATGAATAGAAAAACAAACAGAAATTACAAAAACTATTCAAGATATTTTTCTAAAATTTATCTGAAATTTATTCTGAATTTATGCCTGAAAAAGAGATACCATTTGGCCAATTTTTTTTCCATACTGGAATACATATTTTCATTTTTCTTATGAGCGTTTTTTGGCGCCTAAAATAGCATTAATAAACCCAAACTATGCCCTAGTTTCTCCCTACTGCGCGGAACAATAAGAGCAGCCGGTATCTGAGCCGACGCATCGGTTAATCCGACCGCGATTGTCAACCAAATTCTTTTAAGAGAACTATAAAAAATAAAGCTTATTAAAATATAGCTCATAGGCTTACAAAACTTACCTCTTCAGCTTATAGCTCTCTAGTAATAATTTAGTAGCCAGTGTTTATTCTGCTTTCAGATCCAGGGGATCAAACCTGGTATCCATGCATGTGGACGAAGGGGAAGAACTAAGGTGGCTCGTTGAGTACTCAGGCTTCAGTAAGCTATGGACAAGTACGTAGACATGTTTTAAAATTTTTAACATTCAATAATATCTTCTTTTTTTTCTAAAAAACGAATTTTAAAACTTTACTTTGAATTTGTATCCTATTTTATTCAGGTTTGAACAAGATGTATACTGGAGGAGTGTGGGAGTTCACTGATAAATCTTACCGCGTGAAAAAAATTGATTGGAGCAAAAGTAAGAGCAGCATCTTTTCAACAATAAATATCAAGATATTTTTCCTCACACGAACTCGAAACTCCAACGAGTGAAGAAAGACACAAGAGTCAGGGTGCCCAAAAAATGCAACTTTCTGCTCCTATTGTTGCAAAATGATATTTTCTTTTGTTTTTTCTTCATGTTTGCTTACGACGCTGAAATTTTTGTACTTAATGAGCAAGTGCTTTAAAAGAACTTTAGAAAAATCAATTCTGTTGACTTCAAAAAAAAACCGACAAAACAATATGAAAAAATTCACCCCTCAAATCCGAGATTTAGTTCAAAAAACTTTTTTCCGCTCCATTAGGTGAGAACGAAGACGGTAAGAAAACAACAATATGCATTCTAGAACTCAAAATGACTCAATTGTAGAAAAAAAATCCAAATCACATTTAGACCCATTTCTTGATGGAGATATCATATCATTATCAAAAATCTTAGATTTTGATCATATTTTAAATTTTTTCAGCCTCGTTGAACGCGAACATGCGTGGCACTGGAAACCAATGCGCAAACTTGAACAACAAGATTAAATTCCAGAGTCGGCCATGCCAGAAGCCTAAGTTCCCCTTCATATGCCAGAAAGACACGGATAAGGACTCTTCCTACTCATACTATTAAAACAGAACCTTTTCTGTTTCTTCAGTTTTCTTGAGCATGCACTATTAATGGACAATTTTTGAATAGATTCTTCTAATTTTTATAAAAACAGATTTCTGCAATTAGTTGCACAATTCAATGCTATATATGGAAAAGCGGCACATTTCTTTCACTAGATGCATGGCTTAAAAAGAAAAGAGAATACAAAATACAAAAACTTTAGCAAAAATAGCAAAAAAGCAAGTTTTAAGCCATCAAAAATATATTTTTTCAAGCAGCATATATCTAATTGTTTATGATTTTCCACACCGTATTTTTAGTTTCGTTCTTTTCAGTCACTTTGAAAGTTGATGTATTACATATATTCTCGTTGTTTTCTTCATATTCCCAGAAATCATAAGCTCAGTCTCGATAAATTATCAATTTTTGGCTATCTTTACCAATCGGTCTATAATGTTCATGAGATTGATCAACAAATTTGTTCACATCTTCATGATAACTTCTCGTGAGACATTTGCGTTGAATGAGACGAGAGAGAGTTCGTATTCCAAGATTCTGATGTGGCCCGCCTTTGTAAATTCGATGTCCTTCATCGTGTACATTATCGAATGATTTGATTGCATTTAACTGTTTCTGTAGTTTTAAATTGCAAATTTTTATAAAATTTCGGGTATAAGATTTTGACAATGAGGGGCAAGTGATGGTTCCAGAAGAAATTGCACATCTCCTTCTCAAGTTTATGCTTGCTGGTTCAAGGGTGTGCAACATACCAGTTCGAAAAATTGTCAAAAAGATGCAGATAGTTGCTTGATATCGAGGATAGTGGTGCGAGTTGAGCTAAGAAGCTCGTAATTTGTCTGCTCCCCTAATGATTTTAATCTGATGTCATACGTTTTTGTTAAAAAGTATAATTTGAGTTATTTTTTCGATGTTAGTCGCACATGTTCTGTGTTACAAATTTGAGAACGGCAATGAAACACGTCCTAGATGTTTGAGGTTTGAATCCCGTTGTCGGCTTATTCGTATTTTTAAAAGTTAATTTCTGTGCAAACTTACTTATGCTTTTTGAAAGCTTTATTTCTGTTCCGACCGCCGAAAATGGATTTTTAGTCTGTCTTTTATGTCTGTCATACCATGTCTTCTAGTGTGTTTTTGTTGTTTTATCTTTACAAACTCGGGCGGGTCTTTGTTTTTTATATCCACACTCAAATACTCGTCAGATTAGAATGAAGATGTATCATAATCAAGCCGTGTCGTTGATGATTCGGTTTCTATAAAAATTGTTCAGTCTTTGGAACTGGGATATGCAGTCTCGATAGCAAAAAGCTAAAAACTTTTATCGGCAGTCAGCTCATGAATTTTTTGCTTCATTTCATTGCAAATTAATAACTAAATTAGACGTGTCGAATAAAAAAAGGAAACGTCTTGTCACAAAGCTTTTGTGTTTCACCTGGACCGCGTCTTTGCTCTATTTTTGACATTGACGGCAACTGTGACTTATAACCCTCCCTAGCCAAAACAAGCGTGAATGTTTCAGTTAAATTGGTTTGTCGGAAATTAGAAAATACTTGTGATATTTGAGAATGGCTTTGAGTCAAAACAACCGTACTTTTTTTTCAAAGACCAATGATCAAAAGATTCGTCAGTTAACTTCCGGCGGAGAACTTCACTATGCTTTGAAAAATGAGCATAGAACAAGACTGCTTGTATATTAGGGCAAACCCTGAATGTTCCGACCGTTTATGGTGACCATTTGAAGAGTCTCTGATAATTTTTGGTACAAACTATTAAGTTTTGGTGAACATTGAAAAACTAAAATTTTGAATCTAAACATCAAAAATTATGTTTTGAAATTTAAATAGTAAGACAAAACCAGACTGCTCTTATATCAAGGCGGAGACTTGAATGTTCTTGCTGCCTTTTTAATTGTCTCAAGGTAAATATTAAATTTTTGACAGGCAAAATGTTAACTATTGAGTTCTAGAGTTCGAATCATTTGCCAAACAAATGAGAGTGTACAAAAATTATTCAGTTAACTCGAAGTTCCAACAAATAAAGAAAGACACTAGAGGGAGGGTGCCCAAAAATGCTTTTTTCTGCCCCTAAAATGCGAAAGAATATTTTCTTTTAATTTTTCTTCATGTTTGCTTACGATGCTGAAATTTTTGTCCTAATTCAGTAAGTATAATTGAGAGTTATAGAAAGATTTTTTCTCTCGATTTTAGAACAACCGACGAAAAAAATTGAAATTTTTTACCCCTCAAATCCGAAATTTTCATCAAATATGTTTTTTTGCCCCAATAGGCGATAACGAAAAAGATTTAAAAGAGAAAGAAAAAAAACAATATGCATTCTAGAACACAATATGACTCAAACGCAGAGAAAAATATTCGTTCCAGGTTCAAGACCCATGTTCAGATGGAAATATCTTTATCAAAAATGTTTAAATTTTGGTCAAATTTCAAATCTTTTCATCCTCTCTGAACGCAAACATGCGCGGCATTAGAAAGCAATGCGCAAACTTGAACGACAAGCATAGATTCCAGAGCCGGCCATGCCAAAAGCTTAAAAGCCCCTTCATATGCGAGAAAGGCACAAATAAAGACATTTTATACTCATACAATTAACACTGCACCTTTTCTGTTTCTTCATTTTCCTCGAGCTTGCTTTATTAATGAAAAGTTTCATTCAAGATTCTTCAAATTTTTGTATAAAGAGACTTCTGCTAATGATGCTATATATATATGATCATGAGAATCATCAACAAAATTATCCCCCTTTTCAGGCTAACTTCTCGTGAATCAATCGCGTTGAAAGACAGGAAAGTTTTTTTGCAAGATCCTGATAAGATCCGCCTTTGTAAATTTGATATTTTTCATTGTGTACAATATTAAATGATTTGATTCAAATTAACTATTTCTGATGTTTTAAATTGCAAATTATTATAAGCAAATTGTTATTTGCCAAACAAATGAGAGTGTTCAACTTATTCAGTTAACTTGAACTTGCAACAAATAAAGAAAGACATCAGAGGGAGGGTGCCCAAAAAGGCTTTTTTCTGCCCCTAAAATGCAAATGGATATTTTCTTCTAATTTTTTTGTTCATGTTTGCTTACGACGCTGAAATTTTTGTCCTAATTCGGTAATATATTAAGAGATTTATAGAAAGATCATTTCTCTCAATTTTAGAACAACCGACGGAAAAAATTGAAAATTTTTACCCGTCAAATCCGTAATTTTCATCAAATATGTTTTTTTTTGCCCCAATAGGCGATAACATAAAAGATTGAAAAGAGAAAGAAAAAAAGAATATGCATTCTAGAACACAATATGACTCAAACGCAGAAAAAAATATTCACTCCAGGTTCAAGACCCATGTTCAGATGGAATTATCTTTTTCAAAAATGTTTACATTTTGGTCAAATTTCAAATCTTTTCATCCTCTCTGAACGCGAACATGCGCGGCATTAGAAAGCAATGCGCAAATTTGAACGACAAGCTTAGATTCCAGAGCCGGCCATGCCAAATGCTTAAAAGCCCCTTCATATGCGAGAAAGGCACAAATAAAGACACTTCCTACTCATACAATTAAAACTGCACCTTTTCTGTTTCTTCATTTTCCTCGAGCTTGCTTTATTAATGGAAAATTTCATTCAAAGTTCTTCAAATTTTTATGTAAACAGACTTCTGCTAATGATGCTATATATATATGATCATGAGATTGATCAACAAAATTATCCCCCTTTTTCATGCTAACTTCTCGTGAATCAATCGCGTTGAAAGACATGAAAATTTCTTTTGCAAGATCCTGATAAGATCCGCCTTTGTAAATTTGATATTTTTCATTGTGTACAATATTAAATGATTTGATTCAAATTAACTATTTCTGATGTTTTAAATTGCAAATTATTATAACATCTAATATAAAACGATCTTGGCAATGAGTGCAAGTAATGTTTCCAAAATTAAATGACTAATCTTTCTCTATTGCATGCTTGCTGGTTCAAAAGTATGCAACATACCATTTTTAAAAAATGTCAAAATTAGATATCTGCTTGATAGCAAGGATAGTGGTGCGAGATGAGCTTAGCTGCTCATTATTTGTCTGCTGCCCTAATGATCTTAATCTGATGCTGAAATTTTTGATTAAAAATTATAAATTGAGTTCACTTTCCGATCATAGTCGCACACTTTCTGTCTTAACAACTTGAGAACAGCAAATAAACACATATTAAAGATTTGGGGTTTATATTGTGAGGTCGGCTTATTCGTTTTTTAAAAGTTTTTTTCTTTGCGAACTTACCTAATTTTTTTGAGAGCATTCTTTTCGTTTTGGTCACTGAAAGGGAGTTTTTTTAGTCTCTCTTTCATGTTTGTCACACTATGTCTTCTCGAGTGTTTTTTTTATCCTTAAAATCTATCATCCACATTAGTTTTTTATCCGCACCAAAATGTTTTTCAGATTAAAACTTTGGACTAGAACCTCAAACTAAGTTTTCAAACGACCGACGTTTTTCTGTAGTAACCCACTGAAAAATTTCCGCCATTACCAAAATGCAACATAAACTGGAATTTCAACAAAATAACACTCATCACTATAGGAACAACATGCCGTAACATGTTTACCACAGAATTATACTGGCTCTTTTGCTAAAACTCTGAACTGAGTTTCTTTGTTTACAAAAAACATATGATTTTTCATGCCGTGCTGATACATGGTTGATCTTTTGAGCTTTTTGAAATCAAATTATATCAGTTTTGCTAACCGTAACCACAACTCATTCTCTGATAAAAATTGCGATAAAGTTTTTCATGTATCGTGTATTTTAGACTTCAAAACAGGTCGGTTTTTTTCCACAAAATAAAAAATGTCATCTGCAAGTTGAGCATATTGAACATGGTTTCCCAGTCTACTCGTAAAGTCGTTAAGTTGAAAAAATGAATTTCAATTTCCAATTTCACGTTTTCAGTTTCCTGTATACAAAGTGGCTGCTACTTTTGAATGTCAATTTAGTTCTCCTTCACTCAAAAACACACTATTATGAACAAAATTTGTGAAATATCAGTTGCTTCAACTCTTTCAATTGGTTTTAATTTACAAGTTTTTGTTTGGTTTCTTGGGGAAATCTTTATTCAAAATTGACACAAAATTGTCGTACAAGTTGATACTTTCTGCAATCAATTTATACTTTGCATTGTGCAGTCCAGTCAAAACGAGATATATCCAAATAAATATCCTAAAATCCTTCAGCGCAACGATAGATCGTTGCATCGCATCTTCTTTTTGTTAGTGAAATCGAAAGTTAAACTACAAGCTACAACCAAGTTATTTGTGAAAAAAGCCGAGAACGATGTTTCAAAGTGAGTGAATTGATCATCTATCAAAGAAAGATCAATAAGTGTTACATAAAGTGGATGAGTTGAGTAGGTATGCAAAAAAAACTAATACTGACATGCCTGAAATTGACGAAAATTTGTCGAAAGTGCAACTCCAGTGTTATTAGCATTAGTATTATGGTCACCAAAAGAATGTTGTCTTTCATTTTCATGCACTTGAAGTTTCACTTGAAAGCTCATCAAAAATTTTAGTTGAACTATTTTTGTTTAGGGTTTAGACAATACGGAACAAATGTACGAATTTTTCCATTCAGTGGGTTTCCAGTTTCT